CTCTAAACTGTAGTGGAGTGAATGAGTGGGTGATATTTCAACACCAACCTCCGATCCCGCCTTCGAACACCGACAAGAGAACACACAAAGGAGACAGAGTAGAAACTGGTGGGGTTAGGGTTTTGGGATTTCTGAGAGTTTGGGAGAAGTGGGGTTTTGAAGAAAATTGAAGGGTCATTAATCATATAATATTTTTTATTATTTTCTTGAGAAATAACATAGATAGTTGTAGGAATAAAGAAATATTTTAAATACAAGTAAATTATATGTTTGATTGAATACTTTATCGAAAAAATCCGAAGAAACTCGAAAAAACCCGAAGTTGAAAAATCTGAGATTTATTGGTTTGGTTTGGTTTTATGAATTGAAAAGTTCAACACAAATGGTTTGGTTTCATATTTTAAAAAACCTAACAAATCCGGTCATGTACACCCCTAGCTGAAAGGTGAGATGAATCCATTCTATTTTTCGGCAACATAAATTTGGCAAAGTGTTGAAGAAGAAAGAAACGAAAAAATAAAAACATATAAAAGACACTAGAGTAAAAGATAGAAATTTAGAAAATCAAAAACTTAATATGAAATAGGGAAATCATTTAAAGTTAAAGTTTTAATTAAAAAAATTTTGTCTCTCACTCTCTTTGAGAATGTGAAATACACTTTCTTTGTCACCCCAACATTAGGGAGCAAATAATTTAGCTTTAAAATATTTTAAGGGGGTAAAAGTACAACCGTGAAGTTGGAGTGTATAGTTTGTAGGAAATATGGAAGGAAAATAAATTTCTTTAGAGAATGCTCAAGTTTATTCTAGGCTACTTAAGGCCACTTGAGATGATTAAAATCATCAACTACATCATTATTTATACTACTCAAAATAGAAAACAAAAAGTCTTGCACAAATAAGTAAACACATGTATCACAATTTACTAGATACATGTACTACAAAATTTTAAAGAGACTTATTGAAAAACTAAGAAACAATTTCGGAAGACTAAAAGTTGAATAATTAATCCAACACTCCCCCTTAATGCATTTGCTTGATAACTCCAATGCGTTCTCGAAGATAGCAATTTTTTTCTCTAGGAAGTGCTTTGGTGAAGATGTCAGCAAGTTGTTCTCCTGTCTGATAATAATGCAACTGAATTTCGCCTTTCACTTGTGCTTCTCGGATAAAGTGATACTTGATGTAAATATGATTGGATCTTTCATGGCTGACTTGATTCTTGGCAATTGTAATTGCTGATTTGTTATCACAAAATAGAACAATCTCGTTTTTTGTTTCACGAATATCTTCAAATATTCTCCTAAGCCAAATAGCGATGTAGCCTTGGATGCTGAAAAATATTCTGCTTCGGCAATGGATTGAGCAACAACACTTTGCTTTTCTGATAACCAAGAACAAATACTTGATCCAAATAAGAAAGCATAACAGAAGTACTCTTCATGTCATCTATACTTCAAGCCGAATCACTATCAGAATAACCAATTAAGCTCAAATTGTAACAAACCTAAAAATGAATAGGATAAGTACTTAAGGTGATTTAATTATTATTTAAAAACAGAAATTTTAAGGGCACAATGGTCCTTTCACTAAGCTAATTAAATAAGGTTTTTTTTATTTTAATTAATAAGGAGTCCTAGTTTGACTAATTCCCAAACTAAAACTCCTATCATGTGTATTTTATGAGTGAAATGGGTATGAAAAGAGATGCTCATTGTAATGAAATATGGTTGCTAGAATAACAATCTTTTAGCCAAATAAACTTATGAAAGAGACGCCTAAAAATGTATCAAAACGATTTATGAGTGCACCCTTTGAATCATGTGAAAATGTTGATGAAAATGAGTTAAAGAGTGACTAAAATTTTCAGCAACTATGCAATATTATTTTAGGCTAATGTTTAACCAAGAAATCTGGAAATTTACACATTTTAAAGAGGTGAGGCCATCAGGATTCGAACCTGTGAACTCACCCTTTTGCCACTGTGTATTTGCCAATAAAAAAAAGAAAATGGGGCTGGGGGGAATCGAACCTGGCTACTGGATCACGAGAAGGGAAAAAGAAAATGAGACTAAGGGGAATAGAACCTGGCCAGTGTAAATTCGCCAGAAAAGAAAAGAAAAAAAAACAAAGGGGCTGGGGATTCAAACTCGCGAACTGGAGGAGAAAGAGAAGAAAATAACTAAGCAAACAAATGGGATGAGTGGTATTCAAACCCACAACCTCTCAAGCCCCTAGTGAAATTAAATTAAAATAAGGAGGCTATGGAGGTTCGTACCCCAAACCTCCTTATTCCAGCGAATTTAATGATAAAAATCAAAGAGGCTATGGAGGTTTGATTCTACAACCTCTTGGTTTGGGAAAAAATGAGTAAAGTGATGTTAATGTAAAATAAAAAGGGGTTGTGGGGGGTTCAAACCCACAACCCTTCGTCCAATTTAAGAGGAAAACCAAATAGAGAATCAAAAATATATTATTAATGTTGGGGTTTAATCTAGAGTCCCAATATCATAGAAATTAAAAATAAAATCAGTGAAAATGTAAAGTGTTATCCAAGAGATTCGAACTTGGGTTCCGTTGCCCAAACTTCAGTATTGACACATAAGTCATACGTGAACAAAATATCCAAGAATAATGTCACCTACTTAGATGAAATCATGATATTGGCATATATACAAGATACATAAGTCTTGTACTACATAATCTTGGGAATGTATATATTACTTCACGAACTATGAATGAAGCCTCATGGCTTGTATATATAGACTCATAAGTATAACATACGTATAAAAGTAAGTATACCTAAGATGTATGAAATGAAATGAACAATGAAATGATGAAATGAACAAAGAAATGATGAAATCAACAAACAAATGATGAAATAAACAATGAAATGATGAAAACCTAGAAGGGTTAAGTAAGAGTGTGAAATACAGTGGATGGCCAAGTGCATTGGCATATGATGAAATGAACATTCACGTAAAATGGGGTGAATAATCAGGAAGAGAAAATGTGCTAATGTTAATGAATGAGGTGAAAACATGATATGAAGCTAATGTAAAAGATGAGAGCAAATCTCAAATGAGCGTAAGTAAATTTCACCAAAACGTACTCACCTACGAGAGTGTGAAGTAAATGAAGAGATCAGACTCTATAAACACTCTAATGAAAATATTGAGATTAACACACTTGATACTAATAATGAGATGAGAAATCATCTAATTAGCTATGATGTCCTCATACTAGAAGCTAGCTTGCATGACGTATGAGATGAATGAAATGGAACTTTATGCTGAGCACCAATAGGCTAGCTATGAGCGGTTGATGCCTTCTTTCGGGAAGGGCAGAGGTTCACATAACTCTCATGACATGAGACTGTCCGACTTTCCGGGTATGGGTTTCCTAATATCTTCTAGTCTTCGAACCTATACAGACAATATAGGGATCTAATATGGTTAAATTTCCATGTACTCTAGCATGTTTAGGGTCACTTTGGCTGGTTATTCCACCTCTTTTTGGTTTGGAGCGACACTGGATTTCATGATGCTCACATGATCTATATCGGTTAAAGTTAAAGTTCCCAATGAATAAAGGAGGCCAGCCTCATATGAAGAACATAATGAAATGAATGATACCAAAAAGGGTTAGAATAGGATAATCAAGAGGTGATCTAGACTCAGATAGTGACATTAGGTTATTATAGATCATTGCACAGCAAACCCGATGAAAGTCTTAAACTACACCCTACATATAGCTTTTGACCACTCTAGCCTATGAACGAAATGAAATGAAATATGTATAAATGAATGAAGCAGGCTCTGTGTTTGCTAATAAAGACTCCCTAGTTGAGGTCCCATATGTTGAGCCCTCATTTTGGAAAGTCTTAATGTCAAGTCCATGATTCCAAGATCTCATGGCATATGAATGAATAATATGAAGGAAGATATGTGTTATATCTTATTTGTTGGGTGAAATATGATATTTATGATTATTCATGTTATTCTCATGGCATGAATTTCCTAATACCAATCGAGGAAGCTCATGAATTTTCGTAATCCAAATTTAGACTGTTCACTGACTTTCATAATCCAAATTTGGCAAGTCCACTGACTTGACTTCCCATAATCAGGTTGTTAGAGAAGAACTATTCTTTCTCATGCATGTCCTTAGTGTGTGATTGAATATGCCCATACTTAGTACAAGTGTGTACTCAACCTATACAAACTTTACTATTTTAGGTGAATGCTCAGGTGGACGATAGAGCTACAGGATCATCGCTGTAGTTATTCTGGACGATCAACATTCATCCGGTTTTGGTAGGTCCTTATGCTTTCGAGGATGCTACTCTTTTATGTTCTAGCTTAGTTTTAGAGTTGAGCTAGTGGAGCATGTTCCACTAGTGTTTCTTTCCTGTTTTTATTCAGAGTATATATTGGTTCCATTTTGGCAAGTATACACTCAATAAGAATTGAAGTATTTCTTTCAGTTGCTTATCTCATAATTTTAGATGGTTGATGGCGAACAATTAGGTATTAACGAGGATATTTTATAAGTATCTTAAGAAGCAAACAGTTTCAAATTTTCCATAAATTTTAACCTATGTAAAGTAAGAATGACGTAAGTAGGCTTGTCTGTAACCTCTGAGAGGTCAATGAGGCTGGTCTCGTTTGGGATCTAGATTCCACTCGCGACAAAATTTGTATTAGAAAAATAGCTTAAATTCTGAGAATACTGAGTTCAGATCAACCACATTGAGTGGTTTCTATGTCATGGTAGTGAAGAGCACAACTATCCTGGATTAGAGACTGCGTGATGCGTAGGAAAAATATCCCTTCTTCAGATCTTATCGTGCTTTTCCTAATGTCTGAGTTCTTGGTGTTATGAGCGTTACTATTGTTTTTTAGATAATGAACACTTGGAGAACTAAGGGTTAGAGGAGGCGAGGAGCAGCTACTAGGGGTAATCAGAATCCACCCCAGGCTCTAGATGAAGGAGTGGTCATGCCAGTTAGCCCAGCTAGGTTGATTGATGCTGAGGTGAGGGCATCTCTGGCTCAGATGGCACAGGCCATTACGATGCAGGCTCAGGCTATGACTGCCCAAGTAAACTGACCGGATGTTCAGAGAGAAAACCCACTGGTTCGCAGCATGGCTGATAGGCTGTAAGACTTTACGGGGATAAACCCTCCTATTTTCATAGGGTCTAAGACATCTAAAGATCCTCAGGAGTTTGTGGATGAAGTACATAAGATTTTGGTGCCTATAGGGGCCACAAATACTTAGAAGGCTAAGCTGGCTTTCTATCAGCTCAAGGATGTTGCACAGACTTGGTTCAAGATGTGGTAAGATAAACGTGTTTTGGGTGGAGTGCTAGTCACTTAGGAGCTGTTCAAGACCTCATTTCTATAGAATTTCTTCCCCAGATAGATGAGGAAAGCCAAGGTTGAAGAGTTCATCAACCTTAAACAAGGCTCTATGACGGTCAGGGAGTATTCCCTGAACTTTGTTAATCTATCAAGGTATGTTGCTTTCCTTAGTATTTAACATCAAGAATGAGGAAAGTACTGAGCTTTGGTTAAATTATCCAGGTATGCAACTTACCTGGTTTCGAACAACATCGATGAAATGAGCTGGTTCGTCACAGGAAAAAATAGAAACCTGGAGGATGAGTATCGGTTTGCGATGCTCCATGATAATATGGACCTTTCAAGGTTTATGGTGCATGTCCAACAGGTAGAGGACAACCGCAAAAATAGAGGTTTTCATGATATTAGGAGGCCTACGCATCAAGATCAGGCAGGTCCCAGCCATGGAGGCCACAGAAACAATTTTGGCGTCCGTGAGAAGCCCAGTTTCAAGAAGGGGTAACAGAGTTTTGGCAATTCTAACTCTTAGAGGAGAACAACACCTAGAGGATGCAGACCTGAACCCAAGAGGGTCAATGGAGGTGAGATACATTGTCCTAAGAAGAACTGTGTTAAGTGTGGCCGAGCTCACAGTGGATAGTGCAGATAGGGCACTAATGCTTGCTTTGGTTGTTATAACAGTGGACACATGGTCCGAGACTGTCCACAAATAGAGGTCAGGATGGAAGTAATGCTCAGCAAAGGCCTAACCCACATAGTACAGTAGCAGCCGAGCCTCCCAACAGGACCATATTATATGCCCTGAAGGGCAGGGAGGAGAGGGAGAATTTCTTTGACGTGGTCATAGGTATGCTGCAAGTATTCTCAATTTCTGTTTATGATCTACTTCATCCAGGGTATACACTTTTCTTTGTGACTCCTCTGCTTGCTCTTACTTTTGAAATACTACCTGAAGTTCTGCATGATCCTATATTTGTTAGTACGCCTTAAGGAGAAAGTGTAAGAACTGATAGAGTAAACAAGGATTGCCCAATAGTTGTATGTGGTAAAACTATATGTGTGGACTTGGTTGAACTACCCATGCATGATTTTGATGTTATTTTTGGTATGGAATGGCTTCACAGTTGTTATTCTTGCTTGGAATGTCGTAGTAAAGTGGTAAATTTTGCTTCCTCAATGACGAAGAGTTAATCTGGGAGGGGTACAATTCGAGTAGTTTGAATCCCTTGATTTAAAATCTTAAGGCTAATAAGATGATGTCCAATGGGTTACTATGCAATCTTGTGAGTGTTAATGATTTAGATAATGACAATCCTTTCATAGACTAAGTGCCTTAGTGAATGAGTTCCTAGATGTGTTTCCTATAGATTTGTCTGGAGTCCCTCCCCTTCGAGAGATTGACTTTGATATCGACTTAGAACCCGATATTAAACCAATCTCAATTCCTTCTTATAGAATCGCTCCAGCAGAACCCAAAGAGTTGCAGCTTCATTTAAAAGATCTCATTGACAAGGGTTTCATTCAGCCGAGCATATCCACATGGGGTGCTCTAGTGTTGTTTGTAAAGAAGAAAAATGGGACCCTTAGAATGTGACTAGATTATCGGCAGCTCCACAAAGTCACTATATAGAATAAGTATCAACTTCCCAGAATAGATGATTTGTTTGATCAGCTCCAAGGGTCTAATTTGTTCTCTAAGATTGATCTTTGTTCAAGGTATCATCAGCTTAGGGTTAGGGATAGAGATGTCCCAAAGAAAGCCTTTCGGACCTGTTATGGTCAATATGAGTTCTTGGCTATGTCATTTGGTCTCACAAATGTACCTGCTGCATTTATGGATCTCATGAACAGAGTCTTCCGTGAGTACCTTGAATCTTTTGTCATATCATTCATTGATGACATTCTTATCTACTCTAAGACCAAGAAAGAGCATGAACAACATTTGACTTTAACTTTGCAGGTACTTAGACAGCATTAGTTGTATGCCAAATTCAACAAGTGTGAATTATGGTTGAGATCAGTGACCCTCCTAGGTCATGTTGTATCCGACCAAGGTGTAGAGCTGGACCCCAGGAAGCCTGAAACTACTAAGAACTTGCCAAAGCCCCTTACTCCCATTGACATTCGTAGCTTTCTCGGACTGGCTGGTTATTACTGCAGGTTTGTGGGGGGCTTTTCTTCCATTGTTGCCCCACTGACAACTTTGACGAAAAAGAAAGCCATGTTTGAAAAGACAGAAACTGGTGAGAAGAGTTTCCAAGAGCTCAAGGAAAGACTAACTTCAGCCCCGGTGCTTACTCTGCCTAAGTGTGGTGAGAATTACACTGTCTATTGTGATGTATCTAGAGTTGGTTTGGTTTGTGTTCTTATGAAGGCTGGTAAGGTTATAGACTATGCTTCCAGACAGCTCAAGGTTCATGAGAAGAATTATCCCACACATGACCTAGAGTTGGCATCTGTGGAGTTTGCACTGAAGCCATGAAGACATTATTTGTATAGAGTGCATTTGGATGTGTTCACAAATCATAAGAGTCTCCAGTACGTTTTCACACAGAGGGAGTTAAATTTATGTCAGCGGTGTTGGTTAGAACTGTTGAAGGTTTATAAAATGAATGTGCACTACCATCCAGGTAAGGCTAATGTTGTGGGTGATTCTTTAAGCAGGATGAGCATGGGGAGTACAGCCCACATTTAGGATGAGAAGAAGGAGTTGGCCAAAGAGGTACACAGACTAGACAGACTTGTGTGCAATTGGTTGACTCAACTTGTGGGGGTGTTTCAGTTCATCTTTGTACTGAATCATCCTTGGTAGTTTAAGTCAAGAAGGGTCAGCATCTTGATCCTGTGTTGATGGAGCTGAAGGACTCAATGTCGTTAAAAATGAATGAGTCTTTCGCTTTGGGAGGTGATGGTATAGTTAGATACCAGGACAGGCTCTGTGTACCAGATGTAGATGATAATGGTTCCAGATATTCCATACATTCAGGTTCCACAAAAATGTATCGTGATCTTAAGCATTAATTATTGGTGGGACGGCATGAAGAAGGACATTGCATAATATGTGACTAAGTATCCTAATTGTCAGTAGGTTAAGAAAGAGCATCTTAAGCCTGGTGATCTAACTCAGATTATTAAGGTTCGAACTTTGAAGTGGGAGGCCATTAATGTGGACTTCGTGGTTGGTCTTCCGAGAAATAGAAGGCAGCATGACTCCATATGGGTTATTGTGTACAGATTGACTAAGTCTACTCACTTTAACCCTGTGAAGTCTTCCTACAGAGCCAAGGATTATGCGATACTTTTATATTGATGAGATTGTGAGGTTGCATGGGCTTCCTTTATGTATCATTTCACATAGAGGATCTTAGTTTACTTTACATTTCTGGAATTCTTTCAAGAAAAGCGTGGGTACGTAGGTAAAGCTTAATACCGCCTTTCTTTCTCAGACTGATGGGCAAGCAGAGTGTACCATTTAGACAATGGAGGACATGTTGAGGGGGTGTGTGATTGACTTCATATGTAGCTGGAATGACCACCTGCCTTTGATAGAGTTCTCGTATAATAATAGCTATCACTCTAGCATTAGGATGGCACCATTTGAGGCATTGTATGGTAGGAGGTGTAGATCTCCAGTTGGGTTGTTCAAGGTTGGAGAGTCATCCATTTTTGGTCTAGAGATCATTCAGGAGGCCTTAGAGAAGGTTAGACCGATTAGGGACAGGTTGGCTGCTGCTTACAGCAGACATAAATTATATGCAGATAATAGAAAGCGGCGCATAGAATTTGATGTTGATGATCAGATTTACTTGAAGATATCACCTATGAAAGTGGTGATGAGATTTGGTAGAAAAGGGAAGTTGAGTCCGAGGTATGTGGGTCCATATGATATCCTACAACGTGTGGGTGAGGTTGCCTATGAGTTAGCATTGCCTGCGGAGCTAGCTTCTGTCCATCCAGTCTTTTATGTCTATATGTTGAAGAAGTGCCTAGGTTATCCAGCATCAATTCTACCTGTGGAATGTTTGGGGGTTGATGAAGACTTGTCTTATGAGGAGGTACATGTTAAGATCTTAGACAGACTGGTCAAGCGGCTGAGGAACAAGGAGATTTCCACAGTGAAGGTATTGTGGAGAAATCATCTTGTTGAGGGTGCTACGTGAGAGGCTAAGGTTGACATAAGATCTCGCTACTCTCATCTTTTCAGCTCTTGAGGTTAGATTTCCTACTCTTAAGGCTATGTTTCCTTATCTCTCCGTATTTTGTTGCTATAGTTTGATTGTGCATAGATATAATGTTATAATCTGATTGGCATGACGATATTTAGTGGTAGCATCATTCGGAGACTAATGTTCCTAGGGGGGATAATGTAACAACCTTAAAAATGAATAGGATAAGTACTTAAGGTGATTTAATTATTATTTAAAATCTAAAATTTTAAGGGCATAATGGTCCTTTCACTATGCTAATTAAATCAGTTTTTTTATCTAAATTAATAATTAGTCCAAGTTTGACTAATTCCCAAACTAAAACTCCTATTATTTTACTACTCTCTCTCACACATAATCTCTCTCTCTCTCTCTGTCACGTTCATCATCCTCTTTCTCACGTTAGTTTCTGTCAAAAACAACTTCCAGAACTGAAAACACATCAAGATTTCTTCACACTTGAAGAATTTGCATGAAATATTAAGAAAAACAAAGTAACCAAAACGTTAAGGCAAAGAGAAGATTCCATCGAGTTCGTGGTGAAACTTTTGGTGAGTTGGACGTGGTTTTGGAGAAGGATTTGGGCAGCAACTTCACGTTTGAATAAGCAAATTAAGGTATGGGTCTCTTGGTCCCTTTCCCAAGAGGCCCCTCACGATTCAAGATATTCACTCTGAAACTAAGGTTGTTCCCCGTTGCATGTCCTTGTCACTAGCTCCCAAATGACTTCGTATGTTGGGTATTTTGTGCTGGTAGATTTAGGCATGTATGTGTTTTCGTATTGAACATGAATATGTTTATGTATATGAAATCACAAAAATGACAAGCAATGTATGATAAATAAAATGATGTGTGTGGATGCACATTGGCAGTGAATGAGCTCACTATTAGACGTATGAATTAACAAGTTCATTATGTGTATTTTATGTGTGAAATGGGTATGAAATGTGATGTTCGTTGTAATGAAATATGGTCGATTGAATAAAAATTTTTTAGCCAAATAAACTTATAAAAGAGGCGCCTAAAAATGTATCAAAATGAAATATGAATGAACCCTTTGAATCAGGTGAAAATGTTGATGAAAATGAGTTGAAGAAGGACTAAAATTTTCAGCAACCACGCAATATTATTTTAGGCTAAAGTTTAACCAAGAAATCTGGAAATTAAGCATTTTAATGAGGTGAGGCCATCAGGATTCGAACCTGTGACCTCACCCTTTTTCCACATTGAATTCGCGAACAAAAAAAAAAGGAAAATAAAATGGGTCTGGGGGGAATTGAACCTGGATACTAGTTCG